CGGTTTCACTTCAATTGTTAAAACCATCAGTTGGATATGGCTCACTTGATATGGTTCTCTTTTCAATGTATGTCATGTGGTTATTTATGATTCTACTGCATTCTCTCTTGTGTCGCCCTGTGTATGAAATGTGCTATACCGATAAACTTGCCTTGCCTTTCAGCGTTCCCCATTACAAAGGAAACTTGATTCAACAGGTCATATATAAGAAGAAGAAGAAGATCCTTCATTCGTCCCACAATGGGGAAATTTCAGTTTGATGCATACACATACACATATGCTGTACTTTTACTAGGGGTGGGCAAAATATATCGTACACAATAATATCGTGAAAGTCAATTTGAAGATATGCTTTTTTGTATTATCGTCCTTTTTCTTTTTACATACATATTACAATTAGAGAAGGACAGATGCCCATTTGGTCTAATGCGTACCTAAAAAGCATTTCAGTAAATATTGAGCCTTTTTGGATGTGTTATTTCTGTGTTACTTGAATTTGATTTTTTCATGTTAAAATATGTTAATATATGTTTGTGCATGTTTTGCAAAGAAGTGTGAAGCTTCTATTAAGATCTACACTGTCTCTATCTATAGATGCCCTGGCAGCAAAACATTACAGATCATTTTGTGTAAAAATGATTGAGTTTAAAGATATCGTGACAATATCGTTATCGGGAGATTGAAAAAAAATATTGAGATAATTATTTTTGTCCACCCCTAACATATACACATACACATCAAGGCAAGCAGCGCTCACTTCCACGCTCATTATAGGCAAAGTGGGTTGTGTCTTGCCTAAGGACACAACAACAGCAGATATCAGTGGGAGTCGATGGAGAAGGTCTCGTGGTGGACTGGAACCCATGACCTTCGGGCTCAAAGACCAATGCTCTACCAACTGAGCCACTGTCTTTCCCCCTGTCTGTAATTCAACCTAAAATCTTAAACAAAACTACATTACATACAACATTATATCATTTTGACGTTCATGGCATACAGTCCATTATCAAAATATACTAATATTCTGAGCTGTTAATTTGGAGTTTACGCAAATTGTGAGACAATTATTTAGCTTAATGTCAAATAAAGGCTTGATATATCTGTGTATTAGTTTCACATTTAAGTAGGATAACAGAAGTAAATGGACTTTTGAATGGTATTGCAATTTCCCGAGGTTCTCTGCTGCATATATTCTCATGTTATTCGTCACTTTACTTCGACTAGCTTGAATTAGTTTGAAATGTCCGTCTTTCCCCTAAATGACGCAGTGCGCTACCCAAAGCGGTCTTCCTCCTATCCCATATCTGTCAAGTCACCAGATCTGAAACTCCACAGGATGAAATCGGATGACAGAACTTCCGCCGACCGCAATTAAAATTTAACATCTAAATATACTGGTCTCGTTTTGGCGCTGCTATTTTCTGAATATAGAACCTTTTAATGTAATATTAACTTACATATCAACAACTTTTTTAATATCTTTGAGTGCACAGACGGCTTGATCCTCAGACTGGCCACATCCATTTTTGTGTATAGCCCTAAATCACAAGAGCCATTATCTCGGAGGACTTTACAAAGTTGTCGATTCACCAACGCAGATGAAACAAAAGAAATGCAATGATGAAAAAGCACGTAGAGCCATTGGTCCGTAAGGGGCGGATGACTAATGTCCATAACATTACGTGTGGAGAGAATGTGTATCTACTGTTGCCTAAAATAGTCCTGTTTCTATCCCGTATCTTCAGAGCATCATCATTCAACATTGTTTAATTTGTGGGACATCAGACGAAGGCATGCACTTCTTCCCCCCTGGACCCCACTGCATCTATATTTGTCCCTTTAATGAGGTAGGGGCATACCACAAAGCATGCTGGGAAATGGCTGTGTCTGGATCCAGGCATCAAAAGCTTGGCCGGGAGAAGTGGGTAATACAGTTATAATAGCAGTGATATTCAAAACGCAGTATGAAGTATGGCGTTTTTTTTTATATAAATGCAAAGTCTATTGAAGAATTTTATTTATTTTACTGTTCAGAGTGCGGCTACTTAGTTATTCCAGAAGCCCTGGTGTGACTGCAAGTTTTTATTCCAACCAAGCACACCCAATTTCTCAAGATTTCAGGTTCAGACTGGACTTGTTGGAGGTAAAACCTGCAGCCCCACCAGCCTTTTAAGAACCGGTTGGACTATAACAATGATAATAATAGTCTTATATCGCACTTTTTTGGAACATCAAAGACAGAAATTGATTATTTTGACCTGGTTTTATCTCACAATAAATGTTCTCATGCAGTTTGAGTTTGCTTCCTGTCTCCTATGGATTGTTTGCCCCGCCCTGATGTGGTTCACCTGTGTGTGTGTGTGTGTGTGTGTGTGTGTGTGTGTGTGTGTGTGTGTGTGTGTGTGTGTGTGTGTGTGTGTGTGCGTGCGCGTGCGTGCGTGCGTGTGAGTGTGAGAGTGTGTGTGTGTGTATTTTTGGAATAGGATTGGATTGGTTGGACCTTGAATGTATTAGATTTTATTTTCAGTCCTGCATTTTTGGTTCCTTTTTCATTCCATCACATGACAAATACAATCACTCTTCTGGGCATAACCACCACCAGTAAGATTGACCGGAGGAGAATAGTTCGACCAATGACGAGGACAAGAGCAAATTTCATCCAATCAGGACGCTGTGAGGGTTTGCATGGGCGTGTCCAACTAGTGCTTGCATTCATAAATTCTATTGTACTTTCACCGCTTTTAAGTTTTATTTTCGAGACATTTAAACAGAATGAATAATCAATCAAAAAATTTAATTAAAATAAATAAAAAAATCATAAAATAGAGGTCTTGAACTTTTTTTTTTTATTCTTTTTTTTAATCAATTTTAATAAATTATTATCATTTTTTGAGCTTCTCTGCCCATCACAATGGAAAAGGAGATGTGGGGAACAAAAAGGAGACAACAAGTAAAGTGTGATCCATGCCAACCAGCGCAAAAATGTACCACAAAAACAAGTTTTATTTTCGGTCTTTCTCAGGTGCCTTTTTCACCAAAATTCCAAATAACCGGTGTTGGCTGCTGGACAGTGTGGTACACCTATCATTGTCGCACTTGGTACAAACATCTCCCAAAATACCTTTAATTGAACAATATCAGAATGGCTTTGAATGCACGTTTCTCCTAATCCTCTCTTTTGGTGCTGGGGATAGTTCAGCTGTGCCGTGTCCCAGGCCGTGCTTCAGACTATCCCGACCTGCCTCCATTAGCACTATGTCTAATGAGGATTCACACAGCTGTCGGCTCAGGGCTGATCCGCACAACAGCTGAGGACCACAGCACTGCCCAGGACCAGCTAAAGAGATGTCCTTTTCTCTCTACTACCACAGTGTAACAAACATTAGAATACAGTGGAATAAAGTGCTTGGGAAAGTGCTAAATGAATAGAAAAATATGTGTTTTAGTACATTGGATTGAGTTGGCAAATGTCGTTGGTGCTTTTTCTGTGAGATTCTTCTGGCCATCTGTATGAATTTATTTATTTGGATCCCCTTTAGCTTCCCAAAGTGGTTGCTATCCTTCCTGGGGTCCACTCCACACATTTCAAACATACAGTATATAAAAACATTTACAATACAAAATAACGCAAGACTGAATAAACATTTCACATCAACCTTAATTCAAGCATTGTTGTTTTATTTTTCGTTAAAGGAGCTATACCTGTTTCTGCAAGGTTTGAATGTTTAGCACCGCCCCTTCACTCGCTCACAGGCTTCTCATTTCCCCTACGCTCTCATCAGTCTCATCTAGTTTGATCGTTCTGTGAGTGGAGGAGAGCTAGCATCACGCTAAGTCTCTACTCAGAACTTTTTATGTTCATACACAAGCTGAATCCATGAGCTCAAGTTTTCAAATGAATTACGGATTATAATACAACTTGTATGTAGTAAGAAGCATTTTTATGAACTCATTAGAAATTAAATCGGGTATAGCATCTTTAAACTGTATACTATTAGTTTCCCTTGAATGGTTTAGATAAAGCTGGGGTACGTAACTTTCAAACATCTGCAGAATGTATCTCTGTAATAAAAATCCATGAAACAAGTTCCTTGCTTTAAAAAAAGTTTAGTTATAGATGGATAGATACTCCATCTAAGCGACAGTAGCTCAGTTGGTAGAGCATCGGCCTTAAGGCCAGAAGGTTGTGGGTTCAATTCCCACCTCTGCACCTTCTCCACCGACTCCCACTGATGACTGCTGTCGTTGTGTCCTTGGGCAAGACACTTAACCCCACTTTGCCCAAAGCCCCCACTGAAAGATCAAGGCTATGCTCACACTCAGAGAGCAGCCGTCCTCCTGTGGACTCACCACCTGCAGAGGGTCAGTGAGGGGCTGGTGCTATGAGACTTGGGTGGCAAGTCTCATAGCACTGACTGCCTCTGACTCTGACTGCCACCCCCCTGACCCAGAAATGGATTAAAGGGTAGAAAATGGATGGATGGATGGATGGATGGATAGATACTTTATTGATCCCCGTAGGAGAAATTTAGGCATCCATAAGCAGAGATACATCCATCCATACAAACAAGTAAATACATCATTCTAAAAGTGACTAGTGACTGAAACTAGTATCCATTTCACATGCATGTATTTTTGGCCTCTGTCACAGCTCTAGATCAGCGTCATCACACAAAGAAGTGGAACGAGAGGACCACACTCACTCAGCCAATCAGCTCTCAGCCCGTATCATCAATTAGTCTCTCATTCTCACCAGTACGTTTTCCAATTAGATGAAGACAGCATGTTGTGATGGGACAGAACATGGAATATTTATTATATATGATGAAATTATGTCCTGTAGGTGCCTTAATTCTAATGGGATATCAACATTACTTGTGTGTTGTACTGTTGGCATCTCTCGGGACCATACAAAGTCATTTTCGTCAGTGAGGCCCAGGCCTAATTGGAGTGTTGTAAGCTTGTTGTTCCTGTGTGCGTCTGAGATGCGTTTGTTGTGTTTAGTGGGACAGCTGCCCGGAGCACGAAGACATGAGTCCAGACATGGGTTCCCATTTGAACAGCAGTGTGACGAGAGACGAGAATCCTAAATGAGAGGAGGCCCACTCCGAGACACGCACAGTCCACGGTCCACTGCGGTCCAGTGGGCACGGCCGGTCTGGGTGATCCGTGTGAGGAAGCTGCGAGGTCAAAAAACATGATCGCACGGATAGGGAAATAATGATTATGTTTCCTATTCTTGGTCTGTGAAATGCACTATATTAATAAATGTTTGTCTCCATTGTAAACTCTCTTCATATTACTCCAAGACACCAATGTTTCATCATAGACTGTGTAAAGATGGACAATAATAACCTGCTCTCTCAATCCAGCCCAAAAGGAAAGTGCTCATGCAAAGTTTAGTTTCAACTCGTTCTGGCTCCTTCTCACTTACATTGAAAAGCTCAGTAAGTGTTTGCATCACACTCACCATTTTGAGCGTACAGCTCAGTTTAGTGCTTTCTGTGATGCTGTGGTTTATATTTTGATGTTGTCTTTGTAAATCCAGAGCCATAATAATGGACCGATCAGCAATCTTTAATCGCAGGGGAAATTCTTGCTTGCCTAATCAACCATGTTATAAACAGGTCCGCCCCTGTTACGGCTACGCTAATGTTGTCGAAACGAATGGCCATATAAGGAAATTGGCTCCAGCTATCTTATGTTCAAATCGGCTTCTTCACTTGGCCACTCCGGCACAGGGACTAATAATAATACTAATACAAATGTATCAGTTCTATATAGTAGAACGAGTAAACTACTGTAGGAGGATTATAAATATGTATATAGGAGGATTATCCCAAATTTTTAGGGATAAACTGTCCTCTTTTGAACAAAACCCTCTGGTCTTATTTGACAAGCACGTATCACCAGAATGATTGACAATTGGGAGGACCAATAGTCTTGTTGATCTACCCGGAAGTAGATAATCTTCCTATATCTCTAAGCTAATGTGAACAAACATAACCACTGTCTCTGTAATATCATCTCATTTAACAACAACAATGAGTCTTGTAAAAGTAACATTCTACGACTCAAATGTTGTTGTCATCTTGTTAGAAAACTTATTACACTCTGAAAGAGCCCTGTGAGTCACTATTGGATTCTTTGGGCTGAGAGCTGATTGGCTGAGTGAGGGTGGTCCTCTATTTTTCACTATTTCTGAAAAAGTTGGTCCGAAGATAAGACAGAGGTCAAAAGTACAACTTTTGAAGACTTTTTTTGCCACAAGATAAAACATTGTATCGGCTCATTTGGTCTTTGGATCAATTCTAAAATTTATAAATTTTTTCAAACCTTTCCAAACTGTCAGGTGTGGAAAAAAATCTGATACAAGATTTTTTATTATTATCTATTAATAATTATTCATTAACAAAATAAAAAAACATTTATTTTAAACTACCACTGAAGCTACAGCTGCTGACCTTGAACAGAAGATGATTTGAAAGTTAGGTACCCCAGCTTTAATAGATCCATTCTTAAAATAAAAAAAAATCCTCGTGGCACTGCCCCATCCTTCAACATCTCCACATGTGTAACATATTTGAAATGTGCCGTTCACACTACACACTGCCGCTCATTGTTTCCATGTAATTGAGTGAAAGACGGCGAGGAGCTGGGAGCCGCTAACACGTCTGACCGTGCCGTATCTGCTGGCCCTAAATCACCGCTGCCACCGCTCATCTGCCCCACACCCAGACAAAGCCGTCCTTTACAGCAGGCAGCAGGTGTGAAAACTCCCACCTCCGCTGTCAAAGCCCACTACTTTTGGGTTTATTAAGTGCTTTATGAGTGTGTGTGCAGGCCCATCCGTCAGCCTGTCACTGTCCTCTGCTCTCCGTGCACGGATGACTACCCTGTGACATGAAGCACAATGTCCATGGTTCACTTACGATAAAGTATTCACAGTAGTTTTCTGGCTTTATCATCATGCTAAAGTTGGAGATTTTATTTTATTTTACATTTTACTATAGAGTTATTGTTGATTCATCTTGGGGCGGCACAGTGGCTGGATAGCACTCTCGCTTCTCGGCAAGGTCCTGGGTTCGAATCAGGGTCTATGTGGGTGGAGTTTGCATGTTCTCCCCATGTCTGCGTAGGTTTCCTCCGGGAGCTCCAGTTTCCCTTTCCACTAAAAACATGTACAATAGGTAAATCCAAGCATCAACATCTGGAGGTGGATCCCCGGGCGCTGTTACTACGGCGACCAGTGCTCCTTAGGGTTTAATATTTTTCCCGAAAATGAGACGTATCAAATCCCGGGAAAAGACGACACCTTTCCCGGGAAATCCCGGGAAATAGCTGTTGTTTTTAGCCCAAGTAATGTATGATATCACTCAAATATATAATCCAACAAAAGCTGCCATCTCCACTAGTGTTTCACCAAGTGACTTGCTAGCTTTGCTAAAGTAGCCATAGCGTTTTCAGATGTTTTGTTGATGGGCTTTCTTCAGGAATTTCACTATTATGAGATTCTAAATGTCTGCGCAATCCACAAAAGTGACGTGCGGTGTGGTTTGGAGGCACTGACTTCAGCCCTGTCAGATGAACATATATCATATAAATCAACAGAACCTACAGAGCGGCTTATTCACAATTAGTTTGGCTACAGCAGAATGTTTTCCATGGCCCGCATTGTTTGCTCAAACAAAACGCAAAAGTTCGTAAAAGGCACATTTCCAATTGTGTTATGGGTCTTACCTTAGTTATTAATGAACAGCACAGACCACTTCAGTTCAGACCAGTTTCATGTTTAAGTCCATATAATAGTTTGAGCGCAGATATGTAATCCCCCATTTGGAAATAAGCCCAAAGAGTTTTAAAGCGTAAAATAAAACAGGTGCCACCTCCATAAACTCCTCTGTGTTTTCGCTGCAGCCGACTCTCGGGCGCATCCAATTTCTAATATCAACCTTCTTACCCTTCTCCTCTCTTCCTTATCATTCCTATCGTCATTGTAAGCAGAACATTACCCTAAATGCATTTTATATGATTTTAAAATGTGTTATATGTATGTTAGCCAAACCTGTTGCTGCCCTTAGCAGATGGAAAAAAAGAAAGGAGCTTTCTGATAGAATTGGACGTAACCAAATTCTGGGCTCACATGCGCCCCGTACCCTGAGCCTGGCCTCATTACAAGTCGTGGTTTAGCGCGATTAAGACCCATATTTGTTGTCAAAAACACAATTTAGGAGCCATCCTCTCAGCTGTAGACATGTTGATTGTAAATGAAATATGTTTGAACTTTGAACAACAATAAACGTGCTTTATAATAGGAGCGCACTGTATTTTTTTTTTACTTTCATTTCCCGTTTCCCGTCATAACATTTCCCGGGAATCGGGAAATAGTTTTCATCAGATTTCCCGGGAATCCCGTATCCCGGGATTAAACCCTAGTGCTCCTGTTAGAGGCCATAGTGGCATCAGGATGGGTCAAATTCAGAAGATGAATTCCCCCTACGAGGATTAATAAACTGCACATTTACTTTATTTTACCTTGTGTGCACCTCCTTCCTATGTTTTGCTACAAAACTGACCAATAAAAGAGTTCTTAATCTTAATCTTCATCTATTTGGGATCAGTTTCATAGCTGATAGTGACAGTGGTGATCCGGGGACATTTAATAACATTCATGGTCATCCTGCTCCCTATGTTTAGTCCTACAGTATGTGTTTGTTATTACTGCATTTCCTGTTGTAGAGGAATTGACAACTGTGTAATGTCCTCCACGACGACCGCTGTTGTGATTAAGGGATATACAAATATAGATTGAATTGAATTGATGATTTGAATAAATTGTAATTTGAATACGTGTATATAAACGGCACCAAATACATTTGAAAAGAAAGTACATTAGTACCACTAGGGCCTATCAGAAGAAGGGCCCCAGACCTATTTACCCATATCGATCCTCTTGGTCTGGTCTGGACTGCGGCCTGTTTTGGGGAATCATAACCGTAGCATAAATATAGCGTAACTGTAATATTGACATAAGCTTTATTCAAAATAGATAATGATCAACATGTCTATGAACATGCTCACGTGCAGCTCAGTCCTGGGTGTTGAGGCCCCAGCCCCCTGATTGGGAAACCTTGTCCTGTTGCTCAGAGCAGCGTTGGCGCCTCCAGTGCAGCCGGAGCCCTCACCTCTGGGCAGATGAGCTGTGGATAATCAGGGTCAGCACAGCATGTCCATTTACATTTCGTGTATATCCGGCCCGTCTCATGTCCGCCCTGGCCTTCTGCTCCGGTGGGACCGCGATCCGTTCCAGCCCGGTCCGGTCGGGTCCAGGTGGGTACCAGTAAGTCTGGGGGTCACTCCGGGTCATGTCAAGGGTACGAGTCCCTTTGACCCTGTGGAGAGAGGCTGCTGTCCCACCAGCTGACCTGTCAATCAGCTCCTGAAAGAGGAGTGCACAAGAACAAGAGGGGGTCAACTCCACGGGACGAAGACTGCTCATGTCAGCTCATTAGGAGAGCGCAGCAGCAGATCAGCAGAGCAGCCCATCAGCGTGCACAGGTTTGTGGTTGTGTGAACATACAATCATCCACATCATTATGGTCGATTCAACATCTGCAATATATTTAAACACTGTAGGATCCATCATTATATCACTTTTTATGTGAATACATCCCCTGTTTACACTCGGAAAATAGAATTTCGAAATGTAACCCATCCAGTTAAGGGGTTAGATACAGTTCTGTATCTGCTTGCTGGTTTCAACCAGAAGATCAATCTAGAAATGTGTTTTTAACCAATCTATTTGTCATTGCAAGTATTGGTTGAATAGAGACTTAGAAAGGAGGGATTTATCTTGATTACATTTGTTTTTGTGTGTATTAATACATCCATGATCTATCCCCTCTATTGACTTACATAACACAATGTTGACAACCCGTCAGTGTTCTGCTCGGTTCTAAAAAGCTCCGGATGAAGTTGAGCAGCTGACCGGGAAACAGATCGACCCTGGAGGCTAAATTTAACACACCGGACCCTGCAGATCTGACCGGAGCGTGGGCAGAGCCCCCGGCTGAAACTCAGCTCTCCTGCACTGACAGGGGACGCAGGTCTGGACCTCATGGCTGAGACCGCAGAGGAGCACTTCAAGACCTCGGGAGAGCCCACCCTGCAGCCCCTCACAGTGTCTCCAAGCTGCACACTCTGGTGAGAAGATACGGCCCCAGTGATGGAGGGTGTGTGTGTGTGTGTGTGTGTGTGTGTGTGCGCGCATGCCTGTGTGTGTATATGTGTGTGAGTGGTGGAGGGATTACGCCCACCAATTTGATGGTATTCAGCAACATGTTGGTAGCAGATGTATGTATTCATTTTAATAATATGAAAAAACTTGGATTTTAACTGTCAGGTTTGCTTCTCCTCTAGCCTGATTTTTACTGAGCAGCAGGGCCCTGTCCTGCTCGTCTACATGAAGATGTTTGGATGTAATCTTTCAGTTTAGATCTCTTGAATATTATCTGTACCTATTACAATTTTGTAGAACAAATGATGCATGTACAAGTGCCACGTACAGATTAATACAATCGCTTTGAATTATCAAACAGAGTTTCTAAAGCAGACTTGGAGATCCTTATCCAGGTTGGATGCCAAATGCATGGCTCCAGTAGGTTGGACTACTGTAACGGGCCTGCTCACTGGTCTCTCCAAAAGAGCTGTAAAACAGCTGCAGTGTATTCTGCTGTAACTCGAGTCTTGACTAGAACCAGGACGTACGATCACATTAGTCCAGTTCTCAGGTCTCTGCACTTGCTTCCTGTGGCTCAAGTAGCTCTGCTTATGTATAAGTCTCTCCATGACCTCACAACAAAAGTACATCATATGAACCAACAGTGACTCTGAATAGTTCAGGGACTGGACTCCAACTGGTGCCCAGGGTCAGGACTGAACAGGGAGTCTTCCTGAAAATGACAGGTTTCTACTTTGACAATGTTCAAATCCAGGATAAATGTTGCACACTTTTGTTCAAGTTGAAGTGCTGGTCTGACAGACGAGGTGGTGATGGGGAGGAGGAGGGTTGCTGGACGAATCAAAGCTTTGTCTATGCAGGGTAGTGCTCTAATGCTGCCTGCTGAGTGTGACTGACTGATTGCTGATGCAGCGCAGCAGCAGGTGAGGGACTGAGTGCAGTGAGGTTGTACACATGGAAAGTTCCAGTCTGAACCTCCACTTGTGCTTCATTACCGAACATTGTAAATATATATATAATTTTTTTTTTCAAAAGTTTCAATTTCAACAGCAGTCTTCTCTGAGAACTTTACAAAGTTAGTGATTTTCCTACAACAGATCAGAGAATCAGTTTGACAGTTTAACACATTTGTCCATAGGGAACGGGATGACCAACGTCCATAAATATTAATAATTTTCTAATAATGTCCCTAAATATCCAAGATCATCTCTATCTTTACACCCTCATGCATTGGCAAAAAAAAAAAAAAAACCTCTGGGTGGCCCAAATTGAGAGAGATCCACCCCATAGATGAACAGGCTGTAGATCCAGGACTGGGGCTGTAGATCCAGGACTGGGGCTGTAGATCCAGGACTGAGGCTGTAGATCCAGGACTGAGGCTGTAGATCCAGGACTGAGGCTGTAGAACCAGGACTGAGGCTGTAGAACCAGGACTGTGAAAGTGTGTGGCACATTAGCCTGAGCTGCTGTGTGAGCTCCTGCTGGCTTGAACCATCCCCCACAGAGTCCCTGGGAAGTGATTTAGATGAACCCGGACGTGTGAATCCATTTTGAAACGAGATTTATGACGAGAACATTATCTGTGAGGATTGTGGAGCTGCTGTCTGTAAATGTGGTCTCCTCTTACTGATTCCAACCCCCCTCAGTCCTACATCGTGTAAATCATGTGACTCTTTACAGTTCAACGTGTCTGTTCTTTTCGGGTTCGGGCTCTTCATGTGTGAATGAGGTTGTCGGACGGACGCTACAGGAGTCACCCCCCACTCCGCCCCCCAAAAAAACGTGGCCCGATGCCGACGCGGTATACGTTTCCTCCCAGAGTTCCGGATCATTCTCCAGTTAAATGGCGTGGCAGGAGGGGCTGATGGGCTTCCCAGATGTGACAGGACGTGAGCGGGTGGAGGTGTGTGAGCGCCCGGGCGGAGGTGGCGTTGGCGACTTTATGATACGCGGAAAATCGGTTGAGGACTGAGGCCCCATCAGTCAGCAGCACTTTGGGACACCTTGTTATCCAGAGTGTGGGTTACTGTTACTGTGCTGCCTGAGAAATGTGGGCTTTTGTGATTTTGGATCTATCAAGGTGTGTTGTTTTGGTGCACAAGTCCTTTTAGTTCAGTCCACACTGTAGTGCATCGAAGTGTCCATCTCCCTCTTTCACTTAGTGTGTAGTAGTTTCCCTTTAACTCCCAGAATTCTGAAACGACTAGAATTTCCAAAGCAGTCATTTTGGCAGCTTCCATTCAAATCAATAGAACAATTTCAGTTTTTTCAGTTTTTAATTCATATGGGTTTTTACCTTTGCCGCAATTGGCTGATATAGCTGAAATACAGCATAACTTGTTTGGTGAAAGGCTACAAATGCTAACTGCTGCATCTAAACAGTATGTTGCTACGGTAACTTGCACTTCATCTTCTCTGATGGAAAAACAAGCTGAACCAGAACCAGTCCAGAACCAGTTCAGGACCGGCACATTGAAACGGTCATTTCACTGCTGTAGATTCAAAATGTCTGATGGAGTAATTTAGACACATTTAAAAAAATAAAAGATAATTTAATTAAAATAATGACATACAAACAAACTACATAGAGAGACAAAATCTGTTACACTTCCAAAACAAAAAGGCGTCTAATTGACTTACTGGATGTATAAGTTATGTTGTTAACACAGATATCTCAGAAATATCACATCACTATTGCATTAAAAAAAAAAAAAAAAATTTATTTTCTCAATACAGAAATTGTCCCAAATTGTCATTGTGTCCTTAAGCAACGCACTTCACCCACATTGCTTTGAATGAGTCTGGTGTGTGTGAATGGTTGGCGGTTTTTGGCCTTGTCCCATCAGCAAATCTTGTTCTATCAGAATACTTGATACTACTTGACTCGGTTCATTAATTGGCTATTATTTGATGACTTTATGCAGTGAACATGGGCTGAGTGCTGGATTAGATAGTTCAAAAGGCCTGAAGCAAGTTTGATAAATACTAGGCCTGATTTATATGTCACTGTTGATTCCTTTTGAGTCTTTTTGCACCTATGGCTTTCCCACTGTTATAAAGTCCAGTCCCATGCCTTCTTCACGCTGTGTCTCTACATAATATTACATGGGAGAGGGCATGTTCACACCTGGCACCAACATGCACCAGGAGATCAAACCTCAGCTCCAGTCTAGATTGAAGCGCAAGTGAGAGGCTTTGGATCCAGTCCAGTGGATGTTCTGGGAAAGCCGTATAACATATCAGCAGAAATGGGCCAATGGAAGCAGGACATATCCATCTGCACAACAGCAGTAAACAGATTTCTGGGTTGTGAAACTGAACTTGTATTTGGAAATTAATCATGATTAGTTCTCAAATAGGAGAACTGCTCTACCTCTCTCTCTGCCTCTCTCTCACTTCATGAAATGTGACTATATTCTTCTGTGGCTGGCTTTCTGATTTTTACACAACTATTCAGCCCAAATACACAACAGCAGTTATCTTTGAGGGCGAAATATAATAGATTGATTTACCAATAACAAAAACATGTGTTGACTTTACAGAAGCCCTGTTTCCATCACCCCCACTTGACTTTATTCAATTCAAGTCAATTCATTCTTGTATAACCCTAAATCACAACAGTTGTCTTTACTAAATTACAAAGTCTTTTGTATGTAACTTTTGTCCAGGACTCCCTTGAAAAAGAGGTTCTTAATCTCAATGGGACTTTCCTGGTTAAATAAAGGTTAAATAAAAAATGCAAAGACCGTAGGACTTTACAAAACTGTTGAATTCGCCATCCCAAATCAAAGAATCATGATGATGATCGCATTAACACAAGTTAATTAATTTTTTCATTAAAAGCGTTAACAATATAAACGTATTAAACACATGTGCCGAATGTATGCATGTGCCCAGGCATCCCAAAATAACACTCAGGAGTGCCGCTCACAGGCTTCTCATTGTGAGAAACCCCCCTACTCTCCTCTACGCTCTCCTCCCACTGAGCCATCTAGTTTTAGTAGCGATCTGATAGGCATTAGTTAGCATTAGCACAACTTCTCGTAAGCTGTAACTGATGAAATGGTACAAAAGCAATGCACTGCTAAGAAAATACATAACTGAAAGATTAACGCTATAGTTTCACATCCAAATGTCCGAGGCGGTCCCGCTCCCGCAAGTCTCTCCAGAGGATACGATGTAAGCTAGCTATGTTCACCCGGGCTTGATTTAATCTTTGATCATTTTTTCGCTTTAGTTCCCTTTTCTCCTCCTCAGTCTTGCATCTTTTGGGCTGTTTTGTTGTGTATGCAGTTACAACCAGAGGATATAGCCACTTCTGCTGCCATGCTTCTGTGTTTACCTGCGCTGCAGACGCTAGAGGAGGCGTGGCCTACAGGAGGCGTGGCCTGTGAGAACGACCGTCACGCAAAGTTTCTATTCAGCACTTTTTACGGCCTGAATTTATACACAGCTGAATCAATGAGCTCAATTCTTCAATTAAATTACGGTTAATACAACTTTTAACACAACTTAGTAAAAATACTGTCTACTACAGAAAGACAGAATGTTAATACTGTTATGCCATTTTATGTGGATTTATTGTTACAATAAACAAATATAGTACATATGTACACTAGGTTGTCATTTATCTTTCCATTCAAACAACCATTTACAGGAAAATATGGCATAATATTGCTGATAGTTTGAAATGCAATTAAATACAATTACTTAATTTTTAATCTGTGATTAGCTCGATTAAAGATTGTAGCCTGAGGAGTCTCTCCAGCTGCAGCCTCTTGCACCAACATCTCTGGAGGAATGTCCTGAATCCTCTCCATTGGCGCAGAAGCCGGGATCTTGTTTCTGAGGACGTGTTGCAATGAGGACGTTATTCCAGGCTTTGGGCTTCACTGAAGGGAAAGCCGCTGCCTCCTTTTGTTCAAACTTCTCTTTTATCTGGTCCCAAACCGTTCTTTTAGCCAGGATTAACTCTTGTGGAGCTTTACCTTCAGACTGTTTGGTTCTACTGCTCTGTTCTTTGGCGACATGTTCTTTCGTTGACAGGGATGCCAGACGATTCTGTTTTTTTTACTTCCCATCATCCCTGTTGTAATGTCAAATAAGAATAAGCATTTATAATGTCGGATTAGATGCTGTATATTGCACTGCGTTTCCATATGAATGTGAATTGTTTCTAGTCTCAGCACAGTGTAACAGTTATGCACATACTGTACATCCCAATCCACCTGAAGAGAGTGAATACAAATGTATGTGAATAAAGGCTCTTCAGGCATTTCAGCGTCCTGTTACATTTGTGAGACTTCAAAATGTGCATTCATATATGATGGAAATGCAGTTTCCAGCTTTTCGGAGTCAGCACATTAAGAGGTCCGCACATTAAAAGCAGGTGGCTGCTTTATGCTGCTACTTACGGTAACGTTGGAAAGAGAAGCCGCAGGAATGAGCCACCACAATGCACTTTTTACAGTAAGTAACAGCATAAAGCGTGCGGACCTCTTTACCACTGACCGGGTCTCTTTACCGCGGTCGGCGAATAGTGAGGGCGAGCCGCACTGCAAAAGATGACAGAATTAAAGACAAAAAAATGCTCAAATTTGGCTAAATCTATCTAAATTTGAGCACATTTTTACTGTCTTAAAACAAGATTTGCCAATGGAACAAGATAAATTGTCTTGTTTTAAAAAGATACAAGATATTTCTCTCTTGGAATGAGAAAATAAAGCAATAGTTCTTGAATCAAGTCAAAATTGCTTGTCTCATTGGCAAATCTCATTTTAAGACAGTCAGAATGAACTTAAGTCAAGTTAAAAAAAACTCGATTCTAGCAATTATGATCTCATATTTGATCATTTTTTGCAGTGCGCAAGAAATACCCTCCACTTCTGCTGAGGAGGGAGCCCACCAAGCCCATCACTGCGTCACTACTTGAGTAAAAATACGCAAGCCTCCTTTTTTGGGCTGGACAGTGCAGCCTGGTAGTGGCGCGAGTCTCTATAAAGTGTTACTCTGAATCAAGGAAATACGCTCATTTCATGTGGCGGGAAGGGCTGTTGAGGTGGGGGTCGCGGGGGGACCCTCCTGCATCGGCAAGGAAAAACTCTAAATTCAGTTGGAAAAGTGAGAAACCTCTACTCTGACACAAAGTAGAGTAGACTAGAGCCGAGTAGAGTAGCATAGAGTAGAGTAGGGTAGAATAGATCCAAGTAGAGCAGAATTGAGCTCAGTAAAGTAGAGTAGAGTAGGGTAGGGCTGGTGGAAACAGGGCCATGTACTGCATTTGAGAGTTGAGGATTAGTTGATAAAATAGATATAAAGAGTGAGTTAAGTGGATTCAGATTTCAGACTCAGATTTCTGTAACAAGTACGTTTAGAGTTATTACACACATTCAGATGAGAACCACTCGTCGGAATGGGTCAGTAGTGTTGTATTCTGGTGCATGTCTGACCTATGGTGGCAGACAGTAGCCGTGTGTGGTGTGTGACCGCTCTTTGAACACAGCCCTGTCCCACTCAGAGCTGTTTATCCAAGCCCTCTCTCAGGACTGATGACCTCTGATGAGTGCTTTACAGCAGGCAGCTGGTGTGAAAAGGGCCACCTCAGCTGTCAGGACGCCTCTCTTTTTGGGTTCGGAAAGAGCTTTATGAGCGCTACACTCATTTCTCAAACAGCACTGTCTTTCTAATGTCCAGGACTGAAGATCGATCTGTTGCTCCGAAATGTGAGCTGTTTTATGCGCTAACTTTTCCCCTAAATCACAACTGAAGTTGTCTCAAAGGACTTTACAGAGTTGTCGATTTGCCTACATTGATCAGAGAATCAAACAGGTATTCTCTGGCTGTGGCTTTACCCTCAGTGGGAGCCATTATTTTGTAAAACAGGAGGCAAAACCAAAATTAAATCTTGTTGTTTGCAGTTCACTTCATCAATTCAACATTTTCTTCCTGAATGGACAGCAAGCTCAAAGGTATAAAGGAGGACTATCTACTACCAGGTGGATCATCAAAACTATTGGTCCTCCCAATTGTCAATCATTCTGGTGATACATGCTCGTCAAATAAGACCAGAAAGTTTAGTTCAAAGAGTGGAGAGGGGGATTCTTTCCAAAAAATTGGGAAAATCCTCCTCTATACTTTTACCTTTCAGAATAAATACTATGTACAAATAAAATTCCATAATCAAGAATAACATGAATAGTCCAATTGCGCTAGTTCACGTGTTAGCTGAGTGGTTTTCCTCTGTCTGTCTCTGAAGAAAACAAACAAATAGATACAATAGATTTCACAACACGGTATGAATCAAAGCTGAATAATAATACTTGAATTTGTCTGAATGTAGTTCATGAAAACCAGGCATGTGCAAACCATAGACTGTAAATATCCAAGCTAATCGGCTGTGCCCAGAGTCAGGACTAAACATGGGGAGGCAGCAATTCAGATTCATGCAGCTAAAATCTGGAACAGTCTTCCTGAAGATGTGAGACAGGCTTCTACTCTAACAATGTTCAAATCCAGGTTAAAACAGTTCTGTTAATCTGTGCATCAACTGAAGGATTATGTCTTCTCTATTTCTGATATAGTGTGATTATTTATTTACAGTGATTGTGTCTCTTGCTTTGTCAACACTTTGAGTTGCCTTGTGTATGCACAAATAAACTGCTCTTGACATAAAGGGCAATACAAGAATAAATTGAATCAAAATTGAAAATGGAGGCCCTCAGACTAATTTTGCTTGGTCGATGTCGTCACAGTGCAATTTATGTTTTCTACTTGATTAACTAGTGCAAACTTTATTTAGCCAAGATTCATTTTTTCATTAGCTCAAAAAACAGTATTAAATCCTATTATGTTTCTAATGCCTGTCTTCCAAATGTCTCCATGTGTAATAGGAGTAAATGAATGTGTGTTGCAGAGACTGTCTGCTCTGTCCTCTCGGCCCTGGAGCTGAAGATGCTGCAGAGGAGAGGGAGATGGGAGTCCTGCTGGAGCTGAGTGGACTGTCCTGGGACTGTGGTGACTGCAGACCCGCAGCTGAGCCCTGCGTGGAGCAACTAAAGCCAGTAGGAGACACTGGAACACTGCACACAAGAAGAAGTGGCTTTGAGGGGTGGGCAAAAGGTTGAATTTAGTAAAACAAGAAAAAATTATAGTATAGATTGAAAACGTATACTCTTATCCATGTAAGGGGTGAGAAGCGGGAAACTTGGAACCCAAAATTCCATTCAATTGTTTTTTGTAAATCACTAATTTACAACTGCAGTTCAATCTGGAGAGACTCGAACAGACAAAATATTGGTATTATAATTGGATATTGGTTGGCAGTAATCTGACACTGCATAAATTACACATATGACAATGAGGAGAATATTTTCAAGATGACATTAATTGTTGTTGTACAGAATGTGGTTAGGATTTGGCGCTTAGACCCCGGCAGAGCACTGCACGATTGCAGAAGGAGAAAGAGATCCCCGGGGCCTAGACCCTGGTGGTGGGGGCTAGGAGAAGGATGAAGGAGCTGGCATAGAACGAGGTGGAGATGGGGAGGAGGAGGGTTGTGGCGTGAATGAAGCTGCTGCTTGGATGGAGCCTCTGCGCGATATGAAACTGATGCGGGCAGTGCCTGATTGCTGCAGGTGAGGATTTGTGTACGGCGTTGTAGCTGAGTGTGAGTGACTGATTGCTGTGCGCTGTGAGCTTAGTTCTCCAGTCTTCCATTCTGAATTTCCGCTTTAGCTTCATTTGTCTCTTAGGACTTTACAAGTTGTCCACAGAAAATCAAACAATTCAAATACAAAACATTCAATAATAACAAACTCATGGGAGCCATTGGCCTATAGGGAGCAGGATGACCTACTGTACAGTATGTTCATAAACGAAAACAAAATGTCCATAAATTTACCAGATCATCACTGTCAGACCATCAGCAGGGAACCACTCAAAAAAAAACCAGTGGGGCAAAAGAAACAGGGGAAACCTATCATACTTTACTTAAAGTTGTTTAATGTTTATGTCTTAGCTACCAAGCCATAAGCTGAATTAAAGAATAGAGTTTGAAGCCTGGTCTTGAATGTAGAGACTGTGTCCACCTCCTTGACGTGGATGGGGAGCTGATTCCACCGTATAGGAGCTTGGCATCTGACTTTTTGACACTTTAGGAACCGAGTGCATGACATTGACGTGTCTTGGGGGTTGGAGGGAACCATACTATTGAATGTATGTCTTTGTGTGTTAAAGGAATAGGCCACTGTCGTAATAATACGAGGAGCACTACGTCCGCGCACTAACTCCTAAAGACTTCTCTCCCGCTCACGTTGCTTCTATTGACGGAAGTGAGCGGTAGAGAAGCTCCTCGTATTACTACGCCTCACAATATAATACCTCTTTTTATCCGCTGAGAAAATCGACATGTTACATTTCTGTGTTACTATACTTCGTAGTGTAACACGTCACGTAACTGTATTTGAATAGGGAACACGTGGAAGAGTTTGGTAGCTTCTAACCGGAGCTGATTTGGTACTATACAGTCTGTGGAAGAGGCTGCGTTTGTGCTCCGTGTGCAAGACAGAGCGCACGGAGAAAGACCACACAGGTACATATCAACTAGTCTAAGGTAAGAACATATGTCAGTATGTAAAAACGGTGGCCTATTCCTTTAAAAGAAGGATTTTACATTTATTCTATACACTCCACAGGAAGCCAGTGATTTTAACACTGAAGTTATATGTGCCCTCCTTTATGTGTCTGTTAAGATCCTTGCTGCTTTATTTTGGAACGAGCTGGAAGCTTTTTACAGAGGATTTAGGGCACGCTGCCAGCAGGGAGATACTGTACAGTAGTCAAGCCTGAGGTGACAAATGCGTAGATCCGCTTCTGCATCACTCTAAAAACAGATTACAGGTTACATTTAACCATCGAGTTGGTAGTTATGAGCCCGACTGATTTTGGATTTATAATAGATAGATACTTTATTGATCCCTGTAGGAGAAATTCAGGTGTCAAGTAGCAGAAAAAATAAAATTGATCATTCTAAAAAGCTAGTATTAATTAAAGATGGAGTGGTCTGGGTGGAGCAGGACGGGTCACTGTAGCAGAGGTGGAGTAGCCGCTTGGTTTGGACATTTTCTCTGCTCTAGTCCAAAGTAAAATGCTAAATGCTTCATTAGCATTTTTCCAAAAGTTAGCATTCCTCCGGTGGATTTTCATCTGAGCCACTTGGTTCCGACCATGAATCCTCTCTGCTCTGGTCTGGACCAGTGCAAAACCATGAACACTGTACTGCAGCAACATCTCAGGTATAAAAAAGCAAGAAAAAAACAAATATATAAAGCACTAAACAACAACTGTTTCAGAGCAACTTTGGACTTGATTATTGATGTATACTGGAGGGTGTTGGGCCTTATGGTTATTTGTTGACAATGGTTATTTTTTCATATCGCTATTGTTGTCATAGATAATGGGGGTTGAAACTTTTGTGAATGTGAATTTAATGTATTTCTTTCATGACTTTTTTGTTTATTTTTTTATTTTTTACCTATCAACCTTCATTACTGAGAGATAGCGGTTTATCACAGGTCATTCTGATTTGCTGACCACTGTCCTGCTCTTGCCCTGCTCTCCTCTTTACAGAAGGCAAACAGGATTAGTTGATGTCATTATTATAGCAGCTGCCAATCACTTTTGCTAGTGTTAATCTCAGAATATTTCCTGAGCCATGTGAAGCACTTGCAGCTCCTAACCATGTGTTATTGTCTTCCGAAGCGCTGCTGTTCTTTTCGGCCGCCCTCCTGCTCCCTCTAGTGGTAGCGTTTGTCAGTACACTGTTTAAAATGAGCGCTTTGTAAAATATAAAAAAAATTAAAAAAAAACATGATGGAGATGGAATTGTTTTTCCTTTTTAAATATAGTCCGTGGAAGATTCCAGAGCACGCTGACACATGATGACAACAACAAGTCTAAAACATCTTAGCCGCGCTCCACTTAGTGACCACTGACCCATAGCTAAATATATCCCAATGACATTTAAGTTGATTACTGGGTTCACACACTTTGAAATACATTGTTTACACACGGACTTAACATCAGAAACATCATTATTAGGGATTTTTTGTAGTTTTCAGATTAGAATCTGAATTAGTGAGTGTATTCTTGAGTATAATTGTAGGTTACATTTTGACTTTTTCAGGTTTGAGTTTCCTTTTTTCCACTTTGCGTAAAATAAATGAATACAAAACTAGACTTTTTTTCCATAGTTTTTCTGAGAAGCAGCAGTACTTATATCATTGAAAATGTACGAGCTGACTGTTTTGATTTGAGTGCAGTTCCTCTGTTTTTACCTGAAGAATGAAGCTGAATAAAAAAATAGTGAACAATTATTAGGAAAACACACAAATATTCTACAGAAATTAAGATAAATGTTCCAGTATTTGGCCGATGATTGTTTGTTTATTTTCTAGCGTGACAAAACTCTGTCTAATGCTAACACACAATCCACCATGTTCTGCATGAAGCCGTGTCCACTACAGTCCACTATTCAATTTCAACTCAATTCAATTCAATGTATTTATGTTTACACCAAAATCACATCAGCAGTCGTCTCATAGGGCTTTATAAAGTTGTTGATTTGCCGACCACAGATCAGAAAACAGTTTGAACACAGGAAATGCAATAGTAATCACACAGGAGCCATTAGGATGATCAATGACCATAAATGTTGATAAAGGTGCTTATACGTGTATTTACATTTTCAGATAATCACTGTCCTCACAAACTCCTGCATCAGCAAGGAACAACTCAAAAAACCCCAATAGGAATAATGTATGGAGAGATCCAGGAATCAGGCAGAACGAGGCTGCGACTGGAGAGGCCTGGGAGCCTCTGGGAATATCTGCTGCAGCAATGGACAGACTGTTGTTTGTTGTTGTTTATTTGGATGGGACAGTCCATTTAAATGCACCAATCACCTGTACGAGACGTACACATCGTCTGAAGGGGGAATAGAACCTAGGACTTAGCACAAGCGCTAACAGCAAGGAACGACCAATCTAGATTTGATTAGATTTACAAATACTGTATTGCAGTGTTTCCCAAAGTGGGGTCCGCGGCCCCCTGGTGGGCCGCGAGGGTACTACAGGGGGGCCGCGGGAGGTCATACAAAAAATAAAAAAAATAATATAATTATTTAATGTTAAATTTATAATGTTTTGTTTGTAATATTAAAATATTTGTGTTCATTATTTGACTTGAATAATCCACTGTAATCATTTTTGTATTACAATGTTTGTAGCAGAGGCTATTTTACCCAAAATAAAATAACCAGAAGAGCCTATTCTTAATGTTGTCTTCTTGGTTATTATTTTGGGGGGCCACGCAGACCCGTCAGATTTTTAAGGGGGCCTCGGTGTTACTGAGTTTGGGAATGGCTGCTGTATTGTCATACTTAGGATGTTTTCTATTATTGCACTTTATGATTCCAGTTTGGAGAGAAGCTCCATAAATAAAATGTGTCTGTGTCTGTGTCCGTGTGTCCGTGTGTGTCTCTGTGTGTGTCCAAACAGCCTCTTGCAGTTACCTACAGCGCACACTTCCTTCTGCATCAGAACAGGCCAAACAGGGACCAAAAGGCCCGGGGCCCACACACAGGCCTCATCATTTATTTCACTCTCATTCACTGTCCACGATACACAGTACTCCAAGCGGGTGCGCGCACAGAACATGCACGAGCACCACACTATGACTCTGTTACTTACTGCTCTGTTAGGGGTAATTGTACACTAATTACCGTAACGTTGTAAACCCCTCCTGTTGCTCGCTGATTGGCTGCAGAGCGGTGGTCCTGAGGCCTAAGCTCCGCCCCTGGGTGCTGTCCCAGGTTTAAGAAGCACGAGGAGAGGGGAAGGGGACAGAAGAGACTGTGACAGGACAAACATTCCCCTCACTACCCACTGCCCACTGTTCCCGCGCCCTGATCAGTCCTGTCCAGTGCTGGAGACGCCATGGAGCTGTCGGATATCTCGTTCCCGATCCCCTCTGCGGACGACTTCTACGATGACCCTTGTTTTAACACCAGTGACATGCACTTCTTTGAGGACCTGGACCCTCGGCTCGTACACGTGGGTCTTCTGAAAGCAGACGAGCACGCGCCATCCCCATCCTCCGGCTCTTCCTCCCCTGCCTCCTCCTCTCCATCACCGAGCGCGCTGTTGCACAGCCTGCACCATCACCACGACGTGGACGATGACGAGCACGTACGCGCGCCCAGCGGGCACCACCAGGCGGGCCGCTGCCTGCTGTGGGCCTGCAAAGCCTGCAAGAGGAAGACCACCAACGCGGACCGCAGGAAGGCCGCCACTCTGCGGGAGCGACGGCGGCTCAGCAAAGTCAATGACGCCTTCGAGACGCTCAAGCGCTGCACCAGCGCCAACCCCAACCAGCGGCTGCCCAAAGTGGAGATCCTGCGGAACGCCATCACCTACATCGAGTCCCTGCAGGCGCTGCTCCGCGGCGGACAGGACGACAGCTTCTATCCAGTGCTGGAGCACTACACCGGGGATTCAGACGCGTCCAGCCCGCGCTCCAACTGCTCTGACGGCATGGTGAGTGTGCGGCCACGGACAAGGCGCGTTCATGTAACACATGTGAATAGAAGAACTGCGGGTCTTCTGTCAGACGGATGGTTTGGGCTTTTGTCACCGCTGACGTTAGTCCCATTGACACCGGTGTCTGAGGCGTCGGTCCCAAAGTCAAACGGGCCACACTCAAGGCCAGTGCGCAACAAACGGGGTTTGGTTACAACTCCCGGAGGCTCATTTCCACTTTTCCCACTTCGCTCCATTAAAGTGACACGAGAGTTAATGTAACTAGGTTCAGACGTGTATCTGTCGCACCTCGATGTTGACTTTGACCAAATGTCCTTCACTTCAAAGCGTTCGCGTTTACGCACGCTTACGACGGGGTTTGTGCACAACTTGTTTGGAGTTTTCTGACATAAGATACAACGTTTCTTCCACGTGATTTTAGATTTGTAATGTATTCAATTCTATTATTTAACTATGAAACGTCATGTGGAGTCCTGAAACGAAAAATCCAGGCCTCCATCTAAAATCTATAACCCGTTATTGACCATTTTCATATAAATAAAATAGGTAAACTAGACAAGTGAATTTGTTCAGTGTTATTTTGATGGTTATACTTACAGTATTACAGTAAATGTGTGTTTTTCTAATGACGCTCAAAATATAACTGTTTCTAGTCTAAAATAACCCTGTCCAATCTGTTTTCCTTGTGAACATTTCTAACATGTTGTTTTCTGTTGTTGCGCAGGCGGACTTCAGCGGGCCGACGTGTCAATCCACCCGGAGAGGAAGCTATGACAGCAGCAGCTCTTATTTCTCCGAGTCTCCAAACGGTACTATTTAAAATCCATCCACTGCACTTTATTGCATCTGCTTCATGTTGTGATGCCACCAAGGTTTATAGAGAACCAAAATAAACAAAATATATAACGACCAGATTGCTCCTCGTGAGGCCTGATTCTATCTATGCTTATGTATATTTATAGATGGTTATATTTTCGTTGTGGATTGTTGTGGCATGTACTTTACATGTGACAACATCAAAAAAAATATTATTTTTTTGTGATCAAATAATATATATTTTGGATGCACGGCCCACTTATTTTGTAGATGTCACCTTTTCTCAATTTGTATGTGCAGCCACAGCAAGAATGGTCAAATTAAATTTATTTTGAAACCATTAGGAACTAGGATAAAAAAATAAAATATAAAAATGTTTTTTTTGTTTGGTTTCCTTTGCATGTCTATCCTATGTGTGTTACATGAATGACCCACTATTGTACTATTATTGAAACTGGCCAGCTATAAAAATCAATTGGACACACTTGTTTGCCATACAAAATCTAAAATATGATATTAACCCATATTAACACTTTCACACAAGACAGTATTTTATAGCATTTGTTCTGACCCCGGTTTTACCTGTTTGATACAGGGCCCGTAAAGAGCGAGCGCAGCAGCGTGGTCTCCAGCCTCGACTGTCTGTCCAGCATCGTGGAGCGGATCTCCACCGACACCGCCAGCCTGATGCCGGCCCCTGAAAGCCCCCCCTCCCCGCCCGCAGAAACAGCCGATCAGCAGCCGGCGACGCAGCCCGCCCAAACACCAGTAGACCCCAGCCTCATTTACCAAGTGCTATAGACACAACATAGGGCATACTCTGGACTTTTTCACTCACACAAAACACACTGTTCTCTTAAACTTCAAGCTGTATCTCACATTGTGCCACTTTTTTATAGATTTTTATACACTTTTATATTTACCAAAGACAAAACACGAGTGATGAAGACCATGAGATGCAGTTTTAAGTATAGGTCTACTCAACAAGTCAGTTAACTACTACTGTGTGGCAAAACATGTTGATAACTTCATTAATTTATTCTTACTGTTGTGTACACTTGGGTACATTTTGTTTCCAAGGGTGAATATAATATGCCATCTTTAGTGGGCTAACGTAGCAGGGATGCAGAATATAATGTAGCGATTTGTAATGTACTGTTGGATGGGTTTCCAGTTCAGTGTGTAGTGGAGATGGCGAGGATATAAGCCACCCATTTACATTCCTCCACTTTGAACCATTGGACGTCCCAAGCCAGCAGCTGTTCTAAATGGAGAAAAAAACAGCGTTGTAACCCCCTCCCAAAGGACACCCAGAAAATGCAATTTCTTTTGAATTCACCCCATTCACTGTAAAACTTTATTATTCCCGTTTTGAAAGAAAAACAAAACATAAAAAAACTCATTTGATTTCATTCATCCATCCAGCGGAGGACCATTTTTCTGTCTGTACATATGTTGTAAATAAGAGACGATTTCTTCCAAAATGAAAAGTATTAATTATGTATTTAATGTTTTTTCCGTCTGTTCGTGCTGTTTGTTGTGAGAAATGTTAAACTTTATATTTATACATCTGGAAACGGAGTGACTGTCTATTGATAAATAAACTGAATAATTATTTATACTATAACATGGCTCAGTGCATATATGTGTCCTTTTTACATAGAACATACAGAATTATTACAGTTTACAGTGAAAAAGATAAAAAACAGTTTTTAACATTATCAATTTAAATGCCATTTCATTAGAATTATATAAGCACAAAAATAAAATGTTTATGTTTACAATATATATTTGGAAAGAACAAGCACTATTTAAGCAGCATCATTTCCATAAATCAGCAAATAAAAGTTTCATATTTTGCAACAATTTATTTTGAATTAGGCGCAAAAAATAAATTGTATTATTTTTAAAGCAGCAATTTACCAGGTGTTTACCGCACGCAGGCCCCACGCACCCAAGACACACACTAACGCGCACACAGACACAAATATACACACACACACCACTACACGCATACACACAAATACACGAATACAAATACACGAATACACGCACACACACACACACACACACACACACACACACACACACACACACACACACACACACACACACACAGACAAACACAAAACTACACGCGCCCACATGCACACACGCCCACACATACAGACACACACACACAAATATATATAAAAGACAAACCAATTAACGATTTGGTGTCAGAAATGAATCAGTAAATCCTGAAATGATCTCGTTTAAGAACGACTAATACTAACATGAACTAATTAAAATACATGCATAAATGTAGTAAAGAACATTATGAAGCAAAAGCAGACCGCGAGGCCGCCTCATTGTGAGAAGCAGGAGCGCCCTCTGGTGGTGATGTGGTGCATTACAACAGGCCTTCACTGCGCAGGCCTCAGTTCCACCTTCATTCTGTAAGGTTTTGGACACACAGTGATCCCAAACACCAGCTCGTAGTCCGGCTCTCCTGCGTCCTCAGGCCAAACGAACCGGAACCTCCTCAGAAGAGTCACCAGGATGAGGAAGAGCTCCATACGGGCCAGGCTCTCCCCCATACACACCCGAGGGCCTGCACAAAAGAGTATGAGAGAGAAAACGTGTGCTTTTCATGTTTGCCTATTTGAAAGAATAAAAAAAAAAATGTGTCAAAAAAAAATAAAATAAAAAGATCTGGACCAGAGACTGTTTTTTTTAGGACTGCTGATGTCAACACAGTGTTTGCCGAATAAGAAGCCAATTTGGACGGTTTTTTTGTGCTTTTAAAATTCTAGTGAAATTCTAATGACACTGTAATTTCTCCTTTTTACAAAAATCTCACAGTACAAAGAATAGAATTGCTTTATGAGGAGAACAAAAATTAATGGGACAAAACAATTGTGGGGGAACACAAGTCAGGAAAAGCAGCCGGAGTGATGGAGCTGAAGGAGAACCAGAAGCTCACTATATATTCTTATTCTTTCCTTCTCTCAATAACAGTAAAAGGAGTTAATAACTAATATCTGCACTCACAAACCGAAAAAACATGTCATTTTGGCTTAATGTGCTGTAAATCAGTAATCTTTATTTATGTAGCACCTTTCACAGACCAGAGTCACAAAGCTGGCAGACGCATTCCTGTTTGGGGAGCGACTTTAATGTGGCCATGGATAATAGACTGGAAACAAGAAAAAAAGATAACAAAAGAAGCCGATTTGAACACACGCTAGCTCAGTGCGAGTTGGAGCAAAACTTCGCCCATGAGCATTTCCCTATTGGGCAAGAATGCTAGCATTGGACATCTACAGTATATACAGTCTATCTGGACCATGCTGATGTGTTTGATTTACAAAATGTGTTTGGTGATTTCAAGCTAAATATTGTTTTTGTAAATTCAGTCAGAAAGTCAGGTCCTGTAAGACCTCTGAGGCAAAGCAGTGCAGGGAACGGTACATCCTGTGATGGGAGACCGCTGGGAACACCAGGTACCAACGCATTATTATTATCAATTCTCAAAAATGTTTGTGTTATTGTTTCAAAAATGTTTTGAGGTGTTTTGTGAATGGATAAAAATAAATTGTTTTGTTTGAGCATGTTGCTTGTTGAACTTTACCAGCTGAGAAAACCATGAAGGCCGGAGGTTTGACAAACTCCCCTTTGTCGTTGAGAAAGTTTTCAGGGTTGAATTCATGAGGAAACTTCCACTGTCCCTCCTCACTGAGCGCTGAGGACAGGTTGGGGAACACTATAGTGCCCTGGGACAAAAACAAGTTACCAACAGGAAAAAGGTCTCCAGTTTAGACTGTTACAAATAAACAACTCAAATCAACATGTTGAAAAGAGAAGGCCTGCAGGACAATGTAAATTATATTATTATAGTCCTGATGAAGTCTCAGGTCTGTTCTAGTTTAGATTCAGGAAAGTCCCAGAAGTAATTCAACCTAATTAAATGTATTTTTGTATTGCCCTAAATCACAATAGTATTTATCCCTGTGGACTTCACAAAACTTTTAATTCGCCAACACAGATCAGAGAATCAAACAGTTCAAACACAAGAAATGCAATGATTACGTATAAACACAGAGAGCCATTGCTCTGTAAGGGCCAGATGAACAATGTTCATAAATGTTGATAAATGTCCATAAATGTCATTGAATGTCGAGTGCCACGCATCATCACGACTGTCCTTGGACCCTCCTGCACCAGCAAGGAAAAACGTCTTTACACCCAACACAAGGCCTACACATGTCTGATTTGAGGTTTCTAGCTTGTCTGGACTAGTGAGTAGTTTGCCATTTGTTTCCCTTCTTATCATGAACAAGTCAATCCTCAGTCACGCACCAGACGAATTAACCAACTCATTTATTTACATTATAAGGATATTGGCTACAGCAGACAGGAGAAGGTATTACCAACAGACTAGTATTTTTGAATTGTGTCAACCTTATTGGATAAATCTGTAGCATGTGGTACACGTGACTTACTTTGGGAATGCAGTAGCCCATCAGCTGTGTGTCTTTGGTGCTCGTGTGTAAAACACTGAGGGGAACCACATCAGCGAGCCTCTGGATTTCATGAATTACTGCCTGAAATAATGCAGCGTTATTACTGTTAGAGGAATGATATTTAAAGCTGAGGTACACAACTCTTCTTTGAAATCGTTTTGTCCCATTCGAAAGAGTCAAGGTTGTGAAGAAACAAACCCCGACATCTTTATCTTATCAGAAAACATGTCATATTTTGCATAAGAAAGAGCCATGCAGTTACTAATTGACTCTTTGGGAAGGGGACTGATTGGCTGAGTGAGGGTCGTCCTCTCTTTTCTCTTTTCTGTCTGAAAAAGCTGATGTGACATACATTCATGAAAACACGGGCGAAACTGAAAACAAGAAACTAGGGTTATCCAAACAGTTTTGATAGCTTCTTACTTATCCTTCCTTGTCCAACAAAAATTACCTGATTGTCCAGGTTTTGTTAAGTGAAATGAATACCTATTCTAAATGTAACGTTGATACCTAATGTATTCAAAATGAAAACATCGTTCCTACAGGGAAGATTTGAGATGTGTTGGTAGAATTTGGATTCAGCCATATCTGTATTACAGGAGTGAAGCGTGTAGTTTCTGTGAGACCAAAAATTGTTTCAGATTATCCTTTTTGTCTGTGTTCTGTGTCAGGACTTCAAATCTCACGAGACAAAATCTCCTGAAGTCTGTGGCCAGCACTGAATCCTTTTAATGACTGGAGAGTGACTATAGCACAATAAAACCTGTACCTGGACGTAGGGCATGTCGACTCTGTCCTCACAAGAGATGATGTCCTTTGCCTCTAACACTGAGTCTATTTCCTGCTGACAGCGCTCTGGGGAAACACAAAAGATTTGCCTGTGTGCATGTGGGCGCGTGTCATTCTGCCAAACTTGTCTTGTCTTGCTTTAAAGCAGTAGATCCGTCAGGTAAACACTGCAGCGACATGAAGGAGGACATTACTTATTTATCTGTTTATTTGTTTTGGACAGTGACTATGGGACTACATCATGTCCATCTGTAGTCACTCATTCATCCTGTACTGTACTTTACATCTTCTTAGTTAAGGAGCACCTGAAGGTGCTAACCACTGTGCCACCTCCACTCTTCTCTATAGGACCCTATATCATACATTTTTAATTGTTGCATTTCTTCTACAGTGTTAGCTTCAACAGATGTGTTGCTCAGACGGTTGCAGCAGTTTACCCTGAATGTGAGGCTTGGTCATGAGGTAAAGGAAGCCGGTCAGCAGGGTGCTGGACGTGGTGTCAGTCCCAGCTCCGTAGAGATTAACACAAAACATGAACAGTTCCTCTATGCAAAATGAAGAGCCATCATCCCCCCTCTGTTGAATAAATGATAATGATAATGATAATAATAATAATAATAATGATAATATAGATAATAATAATGTAACATTGTAATAAAAATGGTAAATTATGTTAAGTTATGTGCTCGCTCACCTTCTCCAGTTCATCCAAATAGCAGTCAACCAAGTCCTGTGGGTCTCCCTGTACTCTGTTTTTCTGGTGCTCATATATAATCGGCATTAGAATGTCTCTTACGGTCTGAAATGCAAAAACATAGTGACAAATGTAGTCAACTCACATACAAAATAACAGATTTCACTTGACTAAGGAAGAATGATGGAGAGTTTACCTGTCGGGCCTTAAAAGCTTTGGTGAATGGCAAAGGCAGGTATCGCACAAAGTGAAAGGAGTCATACAACTGAGGAAAGAATTAATATTTAAAGTGATGCTCGGGGTGTTAGATAGGTCCTCAAAGGGCGGGTGTGGCCACAGGTTTCCTTCCAACCAAGCAGGAGCAAACCCCACACTCCACCCATTTCCTCAGGTCTCCAGGTTGAGACTAGTCTGGCCTTAACCATCCGTAAACTCCAGTCAATTATTATTTCCCTACATGTACGTCTGGGTCTGCTCCCAGAGTCTGCAATTACCTCGGTTGAGTCCCATCCCACCAATCAGCGAGCGGGGGCGGCGATGTTGTAGATAGGTGTCGGTGACGTCAAGAGTTTGCACCGAATCTACTGGTTTTAGTTTGGCGATGGCGGAGAATGCGATCGTTCTGGTTTGTTTCCCAAATATCAAGAAATTGAAGCCGGAGCAAGAAGAATGTTTTGCAGATTTCATTGCCTGCAAAGAATTTGTGGCGCTACTCCCCACAGGCTCCGTTAGTGGCAAAGGAGATGGCTTAAGCTTGGCTAAATGCTAGCCACTCACACGGGAGCGTTATAGACGTCACAATAAAATCAGATCCAATCGTTTAAATCTGCAAAAGGAGTTAACCCCTCCCACCTGTTAATGGATCTCAGTGGAGCACATCTAGACCTTAGTACGAAATGAAATTTGTACGATGGTGTGGTGAGACCAGGCTAGGTTAAGACTGGACTTGCTTGAGGAAGGTGGAGTCTGGTGTGTGCTCCTGCTTAGTTGGAATGAAATCCTGAAGCCACATGGGCCCCTTGAAGACCCGTTCGATACCCCTGCAGTTCAATAACATGTCTAATAAATCAATTCTGAAACTCACAAAAGCCCAGGGTCCGTTCAAAGTCTTGTTTACGTCATCGAAACTGTCCACGAGCGTAGTAATAATTTTGTTGTCATGTTCGTAGCGTGAGCCGAACAAAACCAGAGACACAATGTTGGAGGCGATGCTGTGGAACATGACGTCAGGGCTCAGAGTTTTGCCTAAATGGAAATAAGAAAATGTCATTAAGACGTTAGAATATGAGTATATGCTAATCCTGTGGTTGTAGACTACATCCACACAGAGTTAAAACACCTATAGCTTTCTGTAAATACGCAATGAAAACACTATGAATTTATGCCAGGCCTGCTAGCGGCGCTGTGACGCAATTTAGGATCAAGGCCAGACTTTTGCGAAGAGATTTAATCAGAAAATAATCAGGACTATTTAAGTGAGTTTAAAAATGAATTTAGTATTATTGCTGGAACCGAAACTTGGTTTAAAGAGGGAATTATGGCTGAGGTTCTGATGGAAGGATATGCACTTTTTTCATTGAATAGGAAACTAAAGAGAGGGGGAGGAGTTGCATTGTTTGTACAATCAACTTTGAAATGTAAGGCTGTTAATGAAATGACTTTAATGGAAGATGAAATTGAAACAATAACATTAGAAATTAAACCTACATCAGGAAAAAAATTAATAATCAGTTGTATTTATAGACCACCAGAGAGCAGTGTCAACGATTGTACTGACTAAATAATTGAAAAAATAGAAATAGCTAGAAATAAGAATAATTATATGTGGAGATTTTGATATCAATTTAGGAAACCCAAGTGAACCGAAAACAAGTGACTTCTCGAACTCAATGAATACCATGTGCCTCTCTCCTTTAATAACAAAACCTACAAGGATTACATCTCAAAGTGCCACAGTAATAGATCATATTTTTACCAACATGAATGAAGACCATATAATGAGTGGAATTTTGACAACAGATGTTAGCGATCACCTACCCATGCATATTCACAGTATTTACACACAATCATAACATAAAACCAAACAGTTCTGAAAAGACTGCAAGTAGAAACAGGTCGGAAAAAGCCTAGAGAGATAAAAGACGAGATCCTTGGATCATCTGAGAAGCTAAAAGAAGGATCCCCAGAGTTCCTCCTGGAGCTGCAGCATCAGCTCTGTGAGAGGAGACTGCAGATGGAGCGCAGACGCTCTATGTGGCTGAAGAAAGAGGCCTGGTACCAGGGGAGAAAGGCTTCTACTGTCATCACCCTGAGGAAGGAACTCAGAGATCTACGAGGCAGGTGTGAGAAATACAAACAAAGATTGCCCAGAGACCTGATGGAGTCTGATGCTGAGGTCCCTGGGTCTGCAGCTGAGGTCCCTTAGGTCCCTGTGTCTGCAGCTGAGTCTAAGGTCCCTGAGTCTGAGGCCCAGCAGCTGCAGCTAAAGGAGCAGATGTTGGTAGCTCTGAGAGCTAAGATGGATAAGCAGGTGGAGCTGCAGCAGAGCACGCAGGCTCTGGTGGAGGCAGCGAAGCAGGTGGTGGAGGTCAGTGAAAAGGAATCCTTCAAGAGGCAAAAACTGCTGCAACTTGCCAATGAACAATGTCAGCAGTAATTCGAGAACCCCTCTAGTCATTCAGACACCGAAGAGGACGTTCTGGTCTATAGTTTAACCACTGGAGAGATGTGTACTATCAATGAGAGCAGAATGGAGAAACTCAGGTCTATCTTTTTAAAGCTGAGGGAAAAGCATGGGGCACCAGGCTCTGAAGACGAAGGCTCTGAGGAGTCCATGACCCCAGAGATGGTTGAAGGCCTGAGGACCTCCTTATACCAAAGAATAAGGAAAACGAACAAGGACCTCCAGAAATATTGCATATGGGTTTCCACTTTTTGTATAGAGACCGACAAGCTGTGTAATATCCAGGACCGCTGTATCAAAGGCTTCATAAACTACTTCTTTGAATGGAGAGAGATGAGGAGAACAAAGCAGACATGGAGCCCTCCTCTGAACAATGGGGTTAGAATACCTCCAGAGAACCGGTTCAGGAGGTTACTTCACAAAGCTTTCATGCCACACACTTACAAATACAGGCCATCACTTGAAGAGAACGATGGTTTGATGATTAAGGTGGAGCACGCTAAAATCCTTAACCCCGCCTACTTTCAATGGAACCAATTCTTAGTGGACAATCCCTCCGAACAGGTGGAGTATTTAGATTGGGTTTATTACAGATACAGAGCAGAAGCATAAACGCTAGAGTTTATGCAGCTTTGAGAGGTCAAAAGTGGCCAAAATGACGTGCGCTGACATGCTTGCAATACCACCCCGGGCCGATGGGGGTGGACCATGGATCTATTATATTAACTGGATAGGGTATTACTAGCTCGTAGCTGAATAACCCATGTGCTCAGGGGATTCTCGCGGTACTGCAGACTGAACCAGACTAAATTCACGTGGGCTACCTAGAAATTTTCCCCATAGAACTCAATGCAAATTAAAACAGCTCAACCTCAGCTGACAGAGAACCTACAGCTTTCATAAAGGTCGGATTTTGTGGGGATTTTAGTGTCCCTTGTCATCCTGAACTTTTTTTCTTCTTAAATCCTTCGGTTTTGTTTAAATCCACACTTTAGTGCCACAAACTCTACTCCTCTGGCTCTCGCTCTAACTCCCGCTCTGATGAACTGCTCTGATTGGTCAGAGCGCGGCCGAGCCCCTCTGTGCACGTGCGTGAGACCCGGTGTGAGACCCACACACGCGTGTTTGGCGCAACGCATTATGGGAGATCATCCACTGCGCAGAACCGGGAGGACCAGACAATGCCCAAATACAGGCGAGTTTCCCATAGATCTTTGCGAGTTTCAGGCAACTTCCGCTAATCTTTCAGCCCCCATGCCGTCACAAAGCGCCACTGAGCACAACCATTCATTTGAATAGGGCGCCATCTTGGATCGCTGGGGCTTGGGATGGACCCAGAAGAAGAATTAGCCAAGGCTAACATATAGCATTAGCAGACCTCTCAAAAACGTCTTTACAGGATGGGCCAAAAGTTGTCTATTGGCCCAAAGCTCCGTTCCACATGTGTGTCAATGCTGAGGGGGTGAATTTTTTTGGTCCACTCTAGTTTACTCGCTGTGAATTTTTGAAGTCTCTCGTTCAAATGAATGGAGCTGCGCCGGCTGACGCATGCGCAGACGCGTTTTTTCACCATTTTCTTGTGGGCGGGACCACTCGCGGCCATTTTGGATTGCTCCATGAAAGAACTTTTTATGGCCAACTCCTATGAACGGCGGAGATAGGCGTGACTCTGTCCATTAATATATACAGTCTATGCATTAGACATAAAGACAAAGCATTTACATAGAAAAATATATAAAAAGAGTTACCTTTAATCATATATTGAGGAGCCATCCTTTTTGTTGCTTTCTTGGTGGCATAATTTTCACATTTACCTCCTCCAAGAAAGTGAAATAACTCTTCAAATTTTGCCATGTTGAAAATTCAACGATTTAAAATGTATATCCCCCTCGGCTTGGTACGTCATCCCAGCACGCAGCACTTATGTAAATTAAAAATCAATATACCATTTTATTCTGAATAATTATTTCAGAAAAATAACACAGGGATGAACATTATGTTTTATGATGATTAAACAAGTAAAGGACAGTGACGCCTCCGTGTGCCTTTGAACGCAGCTGGGCACTAGCTGCGCGGCTACTAAAAGTATTCCTTTCTCTGAGCTCTTTTTCCGCCATTCCTCGTAATAAAGACAAACTATTTACATGTTTAGTTACGGAATATCTATTTCCGGGTTGCAGGACGTAAACAGAATTCCTGTGGCTTCTGCTTGACTTTCTAAGTTTTTACTACCTTTCCTGGGGTTCAACGTTCAAAGAGAATATTATCAAGTTTGACATTAGCTGAAGTGGATTATTGTTCCCAGCAAGGTGTTTGTCTTTTGTTTTTGTTTTTTTCCGCTGACCCGTGGAGGCTAAGCTAACCGGGCTCGCTCGCCGCTCGCCAACAGTGAACCCGCGGAGGACAGCCCAAAACACAGACTGATGCCGGAGGGACAAGAGATCTCATTACTAATCCAGTACCATGACTGCCAAAGAGGTAAAGAAGGACATCGAAGAACTAAAAGCCTCAATGAACATGATGGGTGAGCAATCGAACATTATCTCTGAACAACAAGGGGCCATTGTGGGCTTAGTGAAGGAAATTCACAAGCTAAAAAAGCTCAGTCAGGAGCAACAAAACAAAATCAACTTTCTGGAGTCACGAGTGGCAGACTTGGAACAATATACGCGGATGAACGATGTAATTATTACTGGTCTGCCACTCAAACCACCATCATACGCCCACGCGCTGAAGGGGACGCAGAAAGTTACCTTCAGAATAAAGACATTTATGTAAATAGAGATGGTGTTGAAGCATGTCACACGCTGTGGTCTCAGAATCCTAAAGTCATCAGTTGTTATTGTGAGATTTGTAAATAGAAAGGACAAAAGGAAATTACTGAGCCAAGGAAGAAAACTAAAAGGAACAAATGTATATAAATGAACATCTCACAAAAGCAGACGCCAAAATAGCTAAAAAAAGCAAGATTTCTTAAAAAACAAGGAAAAAAGATGGCTACATGGACTTCTAACTGTAAAGTATATATTAAGACAAACGGCACACCAGAGGAGGCCAGGGTTATTTACATCAGAAGTGCTGAGCAGATAGAAAGATTGTATGAATGAAGTTTCGTTGTTATTATCTTCTTGTTACGAGCAGTGATTAAATCTAATCCTGGCACTTATGGTTTTGGAATTCACTGAACAAAACATGGAACAGGACAACATTTATGATATTGATATAAATATAGAGCAATATGTATGTAACATGAAACATACTTGTGAAAACTACAATGAGGAAGTAGTTAATCCTAACCAGTTGTAAAACAGCTGCAGAATATTCCAAACGTTGCAGCTCGAGTCCTGAATAGAAACCAGGAAGTACCATCACATTAGTCCAGTTCTCAGGTCTCTGCACTGGCTTCCTGTGGCTCAGAGACTAGACTTTAGCGAGGAGTGGATAGCGCTCTCGCTTCTCAATATGAAGGTTCTGAGTTCGAATCCCGGTTGGAACAGGGCCTTTCTGAGTGGAGTTTACATGTTCTCCCCGTGTCTGTGTAGGTTTCCTCCAGGTGCTCCGGTTTCCTCTACCACTAAAAACATGTGCAATAGGTATGAATGTTATGAGCATAGGGACTGGCTCCTGCTGGTGCCTAGAGTTGGGGGAGGCAGCGTTTAAGATCTATGAGGCTAAAATCTCGAACTGTCTTAATGAAAATGTGAGACGGTCTGACAATGTTCAAATCCAGGTTAAAAATAGTTTTATTTAGCTCTGCATAGTACTGAAGGATTTTATCTTAAGATTTGTTGACAAAATGGTAGCAATTGAATTTGATTTACCTTTCGTCTCGTCTACGTCTACAACAAACCTTTGTTGACAAAATATTTTCATCATAGTCTTTGTCAACAAAATGAACAGCTTAAGTATACTTGCAATGCCTGTTTGTATTTACTCACCTGTGTTTTTCTCCAGGTTCTCCACGGTGTACTGAACCTCCTCCAGGATCCTCTGTTCCATAGACTGTTTTCCCATCCCAAAGTTCCTCATGGTGGTCAAGGCAAAGCGTCGGTGATCCTTCCAGGACTGGCCATAGTCAGCCAGGACCACCCCTGAGGCAGAACTGCAGTTATTAGCAACAAATATGAAAACCTACTGCTTAAATTCAAGTGAGGCCTATATGTGGACAAATAAATAGTTTGCTTAATAGTCCAGCAAGTACCATACTTTCCCTCACAAACGGAAGTTTGATTGGTACAAAAGCAAGTAACTTATATTAAATACAGGATTAACAAGAATAACATTTAAATTGGAAAAAAAAATTGCATAAGCACCCGAAAATATATGGGACTACTTCATATGGACTTTTAACTGGAACTCGTAGATGGGAGCATGTGAATCTCTGACCGGCTTCCAGTTGGTTTTAGAATTGATTTTAAAATTATTTTATTTACTTTTAAATGTTTAAATGGACTGGCCCCCTCCTACCTCTGTGATCTTATTCTGCCCTATGTTCCCTCTCGTGCCATGAGGTCGGCAGATCAGCTGATGCTGGTGGTCCCTAAGACACAGCGTAAGCTTCGTGGTGACCGAGCTTTTTCTGTCGCAGGTCCACGTCTTTGGAATCAGCTGCCCATTGAGATCAGACAGGCTCAGTCTCTGCCTGTTTTTAAGTCACTTCTTAAAACTCATCTTTTTTCATGTGCTTTTGATAATGTTTGATTTTAGGTCGGGCGAGAGTAGCTCAGTTGGTAGAGTACTGGCCTTTAGGCCTGAAGGTTGTGGGTTCAAGCCCACCATAAGACCTACTTCATGACTCCCACTGATGAATGCTGTCGTTGTGTCCTTGGGCAAGACACTTAACCCCACTTTGCCTGAAGCTCCCACTGAAAGATCTCAGCTCCTGTGGACTCACCACCTGCAGGAGGATCAGTGAGGGGCTGGTGCTCTGTGTACTGGGTGCAGCTCTGACTGCCACCCCCCCGACCCAGAAATGGATTAAGGGGAAGCAAATGGATGGATGGATGGATGATTTTAGGTAATAGTGTTTTATATATGTATTTTTTAGTCATTGTGTTTGTTTTTGTGTACAGCACTTTGGCTGAACTGTAAAGTTTTTAAAGTGCTTTATAAATAAAGCTGGTATGGTATGGTATGGTATATGGAAGATTTTGGGTGACGGGGTAAAACCGGATCACCTGGAGGAAACCTAACCAGACACAGGGAGACAACTGGTGCAAGGTGATTTAAAGAAAAAAACGGAACAGATTTTCTCCTACCTCTGTGCTCCACCACGTCGTTCATGAACATGTCCTGAGGCCGTCCGGCGAAGTCCACCCCTTTGTTCACCAGCATCTCCTTTAGAGCCTGCAGCCCGCTCACCACCACAGCAGCTCTGCGCCCGATGTACAGGCTGTACACGTTCCCATAGGTCTTCCTCAACTGGAGACAAAAAATACAGTTGCCGTTGGTTGACCCCCTGAAGCTGTGCAGGGCAGGGCCTGGTTAGTACTGTGATGGGAGACCTGTGGGAACACCAGGTGCCACAGTGGGGCGGCTGTGGCTGTAAAGTGTTGTGTCCTTGGGCAAGACACTTCACCCACATTGAGAATGACTCTGATGTGTGTGTAAATGGTTGGTGGTGGTCAGAGGGGCTGATGGTTGCCCCCACATCTGTCAGTGTGCCCCAGGGCAGCTGTGGCTACAGTAGTGGTTTATCACCACTGTGTATGGAGTGAAAGAATAATGACATGTGAAGCGTCTTTGAGTGTCCAAAAAAGTGCAATACAAAACCAATGTATTATTATTATTATTATTATTATCATTATTGTTATTATTATTATTATTACCATATTTTCATTTTTTTTTATTGTATTTATTCATTTATTTCAGGCAATGGCACAGTTGAGTAAATAAGGTAATCGAATGCAGTTAAATAATATAAATCATAAAATACAAAAAACAAAAACAAATAAAAACTCAATAAACGAAAAACATAAATGCACGGTATAAACTTGACCAATTAATTCTGCCTGAAAAGGAGTGGGAAGAAGAAAAAATTTATTAATCCCACCCCTTAATCCCCATTCAGTGATTAATGATCAACTTCACTGTTACTTTGTTCAAGCATTATATCATGATGGCATTACCGCGGGCAACAAGGAAATTTACATTGCACAACAATTAATACCAACAATGGTAAATTACAAAAAAGAAAAGCAACAACAGCAAGATTCGATATACCAACCATGGTAAAGGGACATTGAGCACATGCTACACTATGAGACAGAGAAAATCAGATTAAATTAAAGACCCTCATCTCTATATTGTGACCAGACCTTATGTTTATAGAACAGTATAAATCGATAAATAGTTTTACAGTGCTTGTGTTGTGAGTCCAGTTTGTTCCAAGGTTTTACTCCACATACAGACAGACAAAAACATTTACGAGTGGTTTTTGATCTCGGCAATGAAACATATCCAAAACCTTTCAAGTTACGAGCTCGCTCAGGAGTCGTAAAGAAACGCTGCAGGTTAGACGGTAATAATTTGTTGAATGCTTTATACAAGACTATTGATGTATTATATTTTACAAGATCATCAAACTTTAGTAGCTTTGACTGAGTAAACAGATTATGAGTATGTTCCAGAAAACCTGTCACGATCCGGTCCGGTCCACTCCACATTTTCCCCCTTTCCTGGTCCTCCTGCCTCTGCCACTCTACTCACCTGGGTCTCATCATGCCATTAACTGCAGTACAAGAGGAGCAGCGCTGCAGCCACTCCTCGCCAGTTTGTTTGTCTACTTACACTTGTCAGTAGTACCTTTTGGCTATATTTTTCAAAAACCCATTTTTGGCTCTTAAAGAAGTTTTTGTGATTTCAGTCCTGCCTGTCTGCCTGCCTGCCTGCCTGCCCGCCCGCCCAACACATCAGCCTGCCTGCCTGTTATTCCTGTTTTTCTTAATACATTTGATTGAAATCCAATTCAGTCTGCCTTTTTTGAGTCCTTTTCTTCAACTGTGACAGAACAAACTGGCCACCATGGACTCAGCAGACTTAGTGGAATTGGAGCCTGGCAAGTCCGAATCACAACCGGATCCTTTGGTAAGAGCTATCACAAACCAAGGGTCCATAATTGGACAGCATGACCAACTCTTGCGTGGTTTAGTGGAAAGCCAAACATCCACAGCCAATCAATTGGCACAACTCAACGCTATGATGCATGAGCTAGCTACTAACTTCTCTGGATCTGCCACTGCCCATCCCCCAGCCCGGCCTCCACCACAACCGGCACACCTGCTGCCTGATCAGCCTTTCAGGGAAGCTCATGTCCCGGACCCCGACCATTACTCAGGTGATATGGGGAAATGTGGGGGTTTCCTGCTTCAATGTTCATTGCTTTTCAGTCAAAAGCCTATCACTTATGCTACTGATAGCTCTAAGATAGCTTTTATTATGGGCTTATTAAAGGGCAGAGCCTTGGATTGGGCTGCGGCTACGTGGCAGACTAACCCCTTCATCCGCAATGATTTTGATTCTTTTGTGAGTGAACTCAAGAAAGTTTTTGATCACCCTGTCCAGGGAAGGGAGGCATCTAAGAGGCTGCTTTCAATTCACCAAGGGGCACGTAGTGTAGCGGAATACTCTGTGGAGTTTAGAACACTGGCAACAGAGGCAGGGTGGGACGACAATGCACTACAGACTGTTTTTGTGAATGGCCTATCTGAACAATTAAAGGACGAGTTGGCGCTGAAAGACGATTTGAATAATCTTGACTGCCTCATCTCCACAGCAATAAGACTTGATAATCGGCTGCGCGAACGGCGTCGTGAAAGGACTACTCGCCAGACTGCCTCGTCACCACTTCCCCGCAATACCCCACTACCCCGTGCCTCAACAGCCTTCCCAGTGCCAACACAAGCCCTTTCCCCAAGTAACATTTCCCCAGCTGCTCACGATGAGCCAATGCAGCTGGGCCGGGCCAATCTTGCACCCGAGGAACGTTTCAGAAGAATCAGAGCGGGTGAGTGTCTCTATTGTGGTCAGGTTGGTCACTTTCTCGCCAGATGTCCTGTGAGACCAAAAGACAGGGCTCACCAGTAAGCATGGGGGCACTGGTGAGCCACAATCCCTCTTCCACTGACTCCCATACTAAAATGTTACTTCCAGCCACCATTTGTTACCAAGATGTTACCCTGCCCCTCTCTCTAGTCGACTCTGGTGCTGAGGAGAATTTCCTGGATTCTAAACTAGCAAGGCAGGCTGGTTTCAAGACCATACCTCTGGACACTCCATTGATTGCCAACGCTTTGGATGGTGGAGCTATTGCTAAGATTACACATCGCACAGAACCATTACGACTCATGATCTCAGGAAATCATCAGGAGGAGATACAATTTAACTTGATTTCATCTCCTCATACACCAGTTGTACTCGGCTTCCCATGGTTAAAGTTGCACAACCCACACTTTGATTGGGCAGATGGAAGAGTGTTGCATTGGAGTTCATTTTGTCATTCCACATGTTTGAAATCTGCTCTTCCCCCAGCTGGTGCTGCTTCTATACTCCCTGTCCCTCCAGACCTCTCATCGGTGCCGGAGGAGTATCACTGTCTGGGTGAAGTATTCAGTAAGGAGCGAGCCCTTGGTCTTCCTCCACATAGACCCTACGACTGCGCTATTGACCTTCTTCCAGGTTCCAGTTTACCTTCTAGTCGGCTATACCGCCTGTCCCGCTTAGAACACGAAGCAATGGAGAAGTATATCAAGGACTCTCTAACTGCTGGTATTGTCCGCCCTTCTTCCTCTCCTGTGGGGGCTGGTTTCTTCTTCGTAGAAAAGAAGGATCGCTCGCTTCGTCCTTGCATCGACTACCGTGGGTTGAATGAGATTACGGTCAAAAACAAATATCCTTTACCACTCATTGACTCCGCTTTTCAACCATTGCATGAAGCCACTATATTCTCCAAATTAGATCTCCGAAATGCTTATCATCTGGTCCGGATCCGTGAGGGGGACGAATGGAAAACGGCATTCAACAGCCCACTCGGACATTTTGAATATCTGGTTATGCCTTTCGGACTCACTAACGCTCCAGCTGTTTTTCAGGCACTTGTTAACGACGTCCTCCGCGATTTCCTCAACCGTTTTGTTTTTGTCTATCTCGATGACATTCTGATATTTTCTCGTTCCCCAGATGAGCATGTCTGCCATGTCCGCCAAGTTCTCCAGAGGCTCCTCGAAAATAAACTTTATGTGAAAGCGGAGAAGTGCGAGTTCAACGTCAAAAGTGAGTTTCTTGGGCTATATTCTTGACGACCGGCAAGTGAGACCAGACCCAGGAAAGATCCAAGCTGTTACTGATTGGCCTCGACCTGTTCATAAGAAACTACAGTACAGTGGCAGCCCCGTTGACACGTCTTACCTCATCTAAGCTTCCCTTTGGATGGTCCCCAGAGGCTGAACAGGCTTTTCAGGGTCTTAAGCTGCTTTTTACAACTGCCCCAGTTCTGGTTCACCCTGACCCTTCCCTTCAGTTTATTGTCGAAGTGGATGCTTCAGATATTGGCATAGGAGCTGTGCTATCCCAAAGATCATTGTCTGACCACAAGTTGCACCCCTGTGCTTTCTATTCTCGCCGCTTGACTCCCACAGAGCGCAACTATTCCATAGGTGACCGCGAACTCCTAGCGGTGAAATCGGCCTTGGAGGAATGGAGACACTGTTTAGAAGGTGCTGACCATGAATTCATTGTGTGGACGGACCATAAGAACCTTTCCTACATACAGTCTGCCAAACGTTTGAATTCCCGCCAGGCTCGCTGGGCAATGTTTTTTGGCCGTTTCAATTTTACTTTAACATACAGACCAGGGTCAAAGAATGTCAAGCCGGATGCTCTCTCTAGACAATTCTCTTCCACAGACTTGCCGGAAAGGGAAGAAAGTATCCTACCTCAGTCTTGTGTAGTGGCGTCCATATCCTGGGAGATTGAGTCTAAAATCAAAGAGGCACAAGAAACTGAACCAGACCCTGGCAATGGCCCCCCTAACAGTATGTATGTTCCTCGATCTGTTCGCCCACAGGTTCTGCAATGGGTCCATACTTCCCGCTTTGCATGTCATCCTGGAACAGGCCGTACGTCAGCACTTCTTCGCCGATATTTTTGGTGGCCCACTATGGAGAGAGACACTCGGGAGTATGTTAAGGCCTGCACTGTTTGTGCCAGAGGTAAGGCCTCCAATCAAAGGCCATCTGGACGACGGTGCTGTCACGATCCGGTCCACTCCACATTTTCCCCCTTTCCTGGTCCTCCTGCCTCTGCCACTCTACTCACCTGGGTCTCATCATGCCATTAACTGCAGTACAAGAGGAGCAGCGCTGCAGCCACTCCTCGCCAGTTTGTTTGTCTACTTACACTTGTCAGTAGTACCTTTTGGCTAT